TAAGGAAGATTGAAACGGATTAGAATTGTGGATTTTGAAGACTTACGGTTTTTTTTGTAACGCTTGATATAAGGTTCGGAAGACGTATTTGGTTGACACGAAGTTGTAATTTTTTCATTCGCAAGTAATTTCTCAAATTTCATAGCGAACAATTAAGGCCTTTTAATTTAGTAGCATTAAACAAGATGGCACTAGACAGCCATGAAACACCAAGCCCTTTAATGTTGCTGTTTTGGCTCAAAATCCCATGGATAACTCTTTATAACCATGCAGCTAGCGTTGGCCAAATTTGAAATACTTGTTGTTTGGTCTTAATCTGTAGAAGACGAACGCTTTTGAAATTCAATTTCACCTTAGGAAACATGTAGTTTCTATCTTTTTACAAACATGGGATGTGTAAAAGATCATCATAATAGAGATAGCTTTTGATCTTTCATTCTTTTTTATGCTAAAATTTAGACAAATTTTAAAATAATAGTTTAATGAGAGGATGAACAACAACTGTTTTTAAAAGTTCCTCTTAGTTATCGGTGCTAGTTCCTCATTCGGATCCGACAGGCGTCCATTTTATTTTTGGAAGATTTACTGTTTATATATAGGCTTGAATTGAAAGAAAAAAAAGAAAAGAAGAAAAGAATTAAAAGGAGGAAAACTCTTGTTTGCCGCTATGACAAATCATTTCCTACCAATTATGTCAGCGAAAGTTATTTTCCATGTGTGTTAATTTAAAAAAGCCTCAAGAAAGTGTATTTAATTAACCATGAATCGGATTTCCACCTCCTTGTTCCTCCCAACATGTCATCGCCAAGCTCAGTAATCCTTTTAACGATAATTAACTGCCGCTTATCTTCAGACCATCTCAACAACACGGTATTTACTGATAGTAACTTTCAAAGATGGGCTTGCGAATCACTTAACTGAAATATATGTTGGGTTGTACATCTTAAAGAAATTCTGAGATTGCGCTAAAGGCAGAGCTGCAAGGAGACAGGAAATTCCCAGGAAGTTCACTAGAAGTCTCGGAAAGTAGTGTTGTTCGTTGTCTCCAATTCATGGGCTTAATTGGGATACTTCTTTTGCTAATCAATTTTTTCCGGTACGTCACCAACTTGGAAATGTGAAAGTATGAACAAAAGTGCCGTATTCTGTGTATGGAGTTGTTTTCCAAATGGGCCTGGCCCCTCACATGGATTATAGAAAGACTGGATGTAGAATGGTGACGTCAACAATCACATTGCTGAGCACCATTTAAAGAGGAAACATCAAATTGACTGGGACTCTGCGACGTGTGTAACGCAATCAACGTCTTACTTTAGAAAGCCGGTTTTCTAACTTAGAACAAACGCCACTGAATCGTAGCCAACAGTTACGAGAGAACCAGTGGAGAACTGACAATTTGACTAACAATAGACGACTGTTTAACTGTGAAAATAGACAGATCGATAGATCGAAACGCACCAATTACTGATTACGAGTCTTCATAGCCAATAACATCACGGCTTAACTGACAGACGACCAATAACATCGCGACGTATTTGACCAATCAGATCAATAAGCAGAGTATAATACCATCAACTGATGTGATACAACTCACTTTGACTTTGAAGATGACTATCGCACAGGTTGTCGAAACGTCAGTCAATGTCAACAACAACAGTCCTATTCAGGACTACGTTCACCCGGACGATCAAACTCAACCTACTTTTGAAATGACTCCTGGGTGTCAAAATGACTCCCCACAGAAAGACTATCTATGGCCCTTCATCTGTGAAAATACAGTTATGTTGGAACCAGTGCAAACTTTCAGTTTGAGATCTTTGTATACGCCATGAATTCAAAGTATTAAACGCTTTGCAGTGCGCGCGCGGCTGCGGTATAGAGGAAACGGAAGCCCGGACTAGTACCTAGTTGAAGAGTCAGGCGCATATATCTCCTGGAAACCCCAATTCCGCGGCGGCATTGACGGAGTAACCAGCCGTGCTAAAATGCTCGGCGACAGGAAAACTCAAAAAAGTTATTCTCAATGCTTTGAATAAAGATGTTCGCCGAAAGGCGTTGTCTCCGCAGTGTATACCAACTCGGTTTTGCCAATGTAGATGGCAAGCCTGGAGCAAAGGCGACAGGAGATGAGGTAGACTAAGCCAGACGTTTGAAAGGAAAGTTTTCAGTTGAGTTTTATCCAGCAGCAGCTCATAAGCGCGTCCAGAGGCAATTTACGCTAACTAGACCAAAGCGTCGTAGGGCAAACAGGAGATTTCTTACTGCCTATTTGAATGAATGAATGAATGAATGAATGAATGAATGAATGAATCAATCAATCAATCAATCAATCAATCTACTTTTCTATACAACATGTATACGCCCTGTATTACAATATGCGCGCCCAGTTTTTCATCATTCTTTGCCGCAATATCTGTCTAATGAAATGGAAAGGTTGTAAAAGCGTGCGTTGCGGATAATACAACCCGACTTATCCTATGCTGAGGCTCTAGTAGCTCTAGACATCACGTCATTGTACGAGAGGAGGAAGGCCTTGAGCTGGGGGGGGGGGGGAAGCTACTTTCCATACATTCCTTCAAATGAAATCCAAACAATGTTCTCACAACTTGCAAGGCGATCAGCAAGAGGCTTGCCAGCGGATTTGTGTACTGATCACGCGCATTACGTCAAAAACCATAGATCAACGGTCTTGAGAGAAAACGGAAACATGGCAGTCGAAGGCGGGACTGTTTCTCAGTATTATATTTTGGTAATTCGCAAATTTATTGATTTTATGTCGCTTTTCATACATAGTGTGTGGTTTTCTTTTTCAGTTAAACAATTTCCCTTTGCAGTGTTTGGAATATGCAACATTTAGCTCCAAACAGCTGATAAGAACCGCCGAAGAGTTGAGCTATCGAGCAGTGTTTTGCTCCAAACCTTAGGAAAGTTAAAGTCGCCTCAAGGTACAGAGCTTTCAGTAGTAGTTGTAATCGTTTTGAATTTTAACTTTGGATCCAAGTTGTTGACTGATCCAAATAAACGAGGTGAAATATTATGAAGTGTTAATTTTTATTCAGTTATGATATGTAGAGCAGTAAGCTCATATTTATAAAGCTCTCTTGAATATACTTGCTTCCGATAAATCTGACACTTGCTCCAGTAATTTTTATCAGCATCAAGTTATCCTTGCCCGGCAAAAACGATGTAACCTATAAATAAATCCATCGAGCGCGTTGTTGTTGGTTAAGATCTAGCACGGTTGCGTTTTAGTTTCCCCCGCATTTCAGTACCGAAAGACAAATACGATATGCAAGAAAAACAAAGATGCATGATATGATTTTTTTTCAATTTTTTAAGCATTTCTGATTTCCTCTGCCGGTTCGCTTCTTGCTTCTAAAAAGTCTAAAAATATTTCCTGTAGCAAAATGTAATTATCTGCTGANCCCCCCCCCCCCCCCCCCCGCCCGCCCCGGCCTTGAGTAATGCTGTATTTGACCGAATTGCAAGGTGCCAAAGCCACAAGCTCCATGATCTGCTACCGCCACGCAACGGGTCCACTTATTGCACCCATAACCAGAGATACTTCAAACTACCGATTTTTAAGACAAATAGGTTTAAAAACACTTTTATTATGGCGAACAGTTTTAATTATTAGTAGTAATCTTGGTTATTAGTATTTTGGTGTTGATACTTCTTCTTTTGTATTTTATTGCAGGTTATATTTCACGGTTTTTATAGTAGTTATCATATATTTATAGATAATTTTTTAGTTCCATTGTAAAGTAAGTCACATTTCAGCCGGCCCGGGGGCTGCAATGATTTTACTTCTCAATAAAGCTATCTATCTATCTCAATCAATCAATCAGTTTTATTTCAATACGGTAGTTTCGATAAGTTGAAAACTTCCTTACACGAGAGCCGTATTCAAATACACCCTGTATAACGTAAGGCCTATGAAAAGTGACTAATAAAGTACAAAAATTATGTTTACAAATTCTACCAATACTAATTAAAATACTTAGAATCTGAATCAAAAGAGGCAATAACAGAGAAATTTAAGGATTAAGTGACGATTTGACAGCCAACGATAGGTTATTTCATTTAATTTCATTTTCATTTTTTCCTTTATTCTTTCGCTTACATTTAGATTTTCTCATGCTATCGATGCATTCCGCTGAGTATACCCAGTCTTTAGAGATCAGGATTATTTCTCCCAGTTTGTGCGACCTCGTGGCGAGGTCGAGCTAAATATGGGAAGTTAACGGGGGAACTGAGCTGCCAATTAAGTTGGAATCGAAACAAAGCAAGACCTTAATCTGTATTTTCTCATGCACGACCAAGCCGATTGATTCAAGTAATTACAACGTGTGCCCTGAAGTCTCGATTTGATTAAAGTACAATGACTTGTTTCGCGATGACGATAACAAACAGTAGAAAACGAGCGTGTTTAACCCATTCCCAACCAGGGATCGTAAATTAATGGAGACGAAATCAATAAAAGCAAATATAAACTGACCAGCGATTATTAATCCTGTGATTTCGCCAAGAAACGACTATCTAGTTTCTCATCCCTTTATATTAACTGAAAGACTCTCAAAGTAGATCCTATGAAATCTTTTGCTTGAGGCACCAAATTTTATCTTGACTGGTGCTTTTAGTAGACCCGGAATTTTGAGTAGAATAGTTGCCGTTGCGGAAGCCTATAGTTATCTGAAAAGGAAGTTTATTTTGTCATTCTTTGCCGAGCTGATTGATTCTTCCTTGGTTTGTAATGACCAATCAATGAGGGTCTTATATAGCAGTGTTTATGGCATGGGCGTTAACTTAAAAAGGGACAGAGAAAATCTTTGGCCTTTAAATGTCCACATCTGGACTCCCACAGCTCTGTTCGTCAGCTCATCCAGCAGTGAGGGTGTCAAGCAAGAAAGCGAAAGACGATCAGAATAGTTTAGTTTGTACCTAACTGTATTTCTAAAATAACTTGATTATCGCACGAAAGTGAAAGATTTATAGTGAAAATGCTGTCTAAGTTGCGAGTTTCATCCCCGGAACGAACGCGTAAAGGGTCGAAACAGCGGCTGCACTTTACGCCTTGGCTTAAAGAGCAGATCGAAAGTGGAGATATCTATGGCGTAGAGTGGATCGATAAAGACCTCGGGATCTTTAAAATTATTTGGGTGCGAGTTGATAATCCCGAATTCAAGCTCGAAACCCATGCAGAATTGTTCAAACGCTGGGCAAGCCACACAGGAAAATATCGCCCAGGCGACCAGCCAGATCCCTCGACGTGGAAGACGAGATTTCGCTGTGCTCTGCAAAAGATGTCGGATATCATGGAAATTAGACATTTGGAAGGAACTAAACCGTACAGAGTTTTTAAGTTTGAGCCAAAACGGAAAGGTAAGGAGTAAGTATTTATGACAAATGCACCCGTGCAAATTAACTTGCCCTTGGCGGTTGTTTCCGTGTTACGTTTCTATTTTCAAAGTTCAGGTCATTTTGACTGCATAAATGAGCCCGTCTTTTGCATTGGTGAAGTTACTGTTCGTACAAAAAACCTCAGTATTAGTAGCCGTATTCATTGGCAAAGGCATGTGATCTTAAAAAGACAAGATCTTTATATAGTAAGAAGACCGACCCGGTTGATACACATTAGGCCTCGTTAAATCCATTGATTAAAATAACTTTTTCATTTATTACTTGCCATTACAAAGTCAGGTATCTTTTAGCTTGATCTCAGTTCTCGATCCGCTGTGTCTTAAAGCTACTGGTAATAGTCGGGTTTAATGGACGCAACAAGTGAGCAAACAATGCTCTTCAAGTTTATTGTAAAATTTGTTATGTTGTGCCAAATACCGCGGCAGGTCGGAGGCCAAGCGGCCTTTGAATTAAAGAAGTTAAAACTGAAAAAGTGTCTTTTTAAGACACTTTTTTCGCGCTAAAGGTTTAAAAATCTTTATGCGGAAATTGCATTTAAGTGAATATTTTAAAGTGAAGAGGAACAAAAACTGCTTCTTTATTTTAAACTAACAACTTCCCCTGTTATCGATGTTTCTTTTCGGTGAAGCATCAAATTTCTTTTAGGAGTACTAACTGGAATGTAATTAAGTGAATCTAAACACGCTAATGGAAACATTTTTTCTTTATATTTTCCCTCTGTCATCTAACCATGACGAAGAGAGGGGTGCCTGCATGTTTCTGTCTTTTTTCCTTCTCTTTCTTAGTTCCTTTTTATCCAGCCCGAAAATAGCAGTTGCTTTGAACTGTTGTGCGGTATAGCGAAGATACAGGACAGACGGCAAATTGTTGTTGCTCGAAATATCATTCTATAAGTAGCAACTGTCCAACAGTAGGATACCTAAGATGCGTGTAATCCATTGGTTTCGCCTCCATAACTAATCCTAAACAAGAGATAAGAACCAACTGTAAAACATTTTAGGAGAAGCCCGCCACCCCCATAAGGTTAGCACAATATCTCGCGGCCTTTTTTGCATCCTATGTCGACGATTCTTCTAACATCACGAATTTGAGAGAATAGAAACAGTTTTTTATGTACTTCATTAAAGTATGTTTTGAACAGTACGGATTATTTAGAAACAAAAATCGCAAAAATTATCGTTTGAAAATAAAAACACGAGCAGCGATGATAGCTAGACGAGGGGTTATTAAGTATTTAAAATACTATCGGCACGCGGGGGGATAAAAGACCGGATATCATAATCACTAGATATACGGTGAGGAATCTAATTGTCGTGGCATGTCTGGGATGGCTTGTTTCATTACCATTGCCAAAGACTGCTAGGTTGCTTTGGTTGATGTTTGCCTTTTGCCAGTTTCTGAGCAGTTAGAAGTTGTTTCATTCCAATCAATAGAGTTTTAAAAACTCGTGTCGAGTCATCGAGTCAGAGCGTTATAGACAGGTGATGATACCAAAGGTTATTTCCCTCATTCGCTAATTTAAAAAAATTTAAAAGCGTTAACAAAGTGTATTTAATTAACCATAATCCAATTTTCACCTCGTTCTGCACAACCGTGACATGTCATCGCTAAGCTCAAATCCCGATGATTTGCGTCTATGCCGCTTATCTTCAGACCACCTGCATGAGCAGTGGTATTTGCTGATAATAACTTTTAACGATGGGAATGGCTTAACTGGATTTTTAGGTTGGGTTGTATGTCTTAAAAATGGTTAGATCGCATAGTGCTGTTTGTAGCATTGGAAAAACTCAAAAACGTTCCCAGGAAGTTGAAAGCATCTCATGTAATTCCGTAATTCATTGAATAGTTTCCTGTTGCTATTCATTCTTTTATCTGGAAACACGTGTTTACCACCAGACTATTAATTTTTGTTTTGAAATTGACTTAATAATTGACTGTGTTTTGTTTTGTTTGACTTTAATGAACTGTTCATTTTCAAAAATTTACTGTCCGTTAAAGACATTTTGGGGAAGTTTTTTTTCAATTGCTGCACGACGGTGAGATATCATGAACTTCTCAGAAATAGAAGGTAGTTTTTCGTCTGCGAACGTTTTTGGACCATTATATCCCTGGTATATCTAGCTGAACCACTGATATCACGAACATGCTCTCTTTTTTTTCCAGAGGATAAAAGAATAAAATTAAGATAATTTTTGGCACAGTTCGTGGTCGTCCAAAGACAAAGCCCTCAGACTAGTCACCAAAAAGAGATCTGCATCGTCTTTAATACATTAATTCCCGTTCGGAAAAATCCGGAAAAAGAAATGAAACTATAACGAGTTGAGCCAGTGGATGCTATACGAGCAAATTTATCCCAGTTTCAATCAGGAGCAAAATTCAGGTGACTCGTTACTCCGCAAGTAGAAACCCATTTGCGGTGACTTAGTTCTATCGAAGAAGATGAACACGCAGCCGGGATATAAAGGTTAGACTATCCGTGACAGAACCTGTATAACACATTAACTTTAATTTATTTTAATATTGACTGCCTCAATATTGTCGATCAGGATCTTGCACTCTACAAGGGTTTTTGATAGACTAAGCTCTTCAGTTTACGTCCATCAGAGTCGGAAATTATGCCTTTAAAATCATTTAAGATGTTTTCAAACTTAAGAGCTGTTCGAAAAATGAGAAGAAACTTATAAGAAGGTGATTTTGAGCCATTGCGACTTACGTCAACAGGGAGTGAGGCCTTGCCTTGATTTTAGGTCCCACATTTACATTTCTGTGTCTCTACTCTTATAACGGAGATTGATGCGAATTGCTGGGTAGAGTTGAAGGTCGGTCCTCAGAACGGTAGTCGGCCATATTCCCTCCCCCCCCACCCCTTCGCATTAAGTAGGACGATGTGTTTTGGGTCAACATATATAGTAGTCAGGCTTCCAAATGTAAATGCTTTTTGACACAACACCAGCAAATTATAAGAATATTTTTACACTTCTTGTCTTTCCATACTTAGTGCATTTCTTAAAGGTGAAATTGCACGTTTCTTTCTACATNAGTGAGGCCTTGCCTTGATTTTAGGTCCCACATTTACATTTCTGTGTCTCTACTCTTATAACGGAGATTGATGCGAATTGCTGGGTAGAGTTGAAGGTCGGTCCTCAGAACGGTAGTCGGCCATATTCCCTCCCCCCCCACCCCTTCGCATTAAGTAGGACGATGTGTTTTGGGTCAACATATATAGTAGTCAGGCTTCCAAATGTAAATGCTTTTTGACACAACACCAGCAAATTATAAGAATATTTTTACACTTCTTGTCTTTCCATACTTAGTGCATTTCTTAAAGGTGAAATTGCACGTTTCTTTCTACATTAATCGGGGTATTTGGACAGGGAAAAAGCTTGAATACTCTTCAACGAACATTTCCTTAAAAAACCTAAAAATGATTTCTTCAAGGAAAGTTTTTTTCGCAATCTTTTTAGCCAAACAATTTGATGCTGATAAAACAAATTAACAAAATTAAAGAAACAGAAAAAGTAACATGCACTGCAAATTTAAACTTTGTGCCGGTTGCATGAGATGCGGCTTCAAGATGAGCAGCGCTATATCGCGAATTTAGCTTATCGAACATCTATATGGTAATTTAGGTGCTAGTTTTCAAACATATTGTATTATCATTTTCTTTCCAAAATAAATAGCGTCACATAAACTTTCGGTTTATCTTTGGGTGTTAATAACTCAGATATTAGTCGAATTTAATGCGTTGAATGATATCGATCCTCTGGTATCGAGTGGTCAACAACATCAACTGAATTCGTTGCTTTCTTATCTCTCTGTGCCAACAACTTGAACTTTGAAGTCATATTGATGTCATAATGATTAAATTAACTTGTTTTCAAGACGTGGTTTTGCACCGTCATTATTGTTTAACCATTGTTTACACATGCATTTTTTAACTTTCGATTCTTTCACTTTTCAAAAGGAAATTCTTCAAGGCGTAGGAGAAGACGGTGTTTTACATCAGAGACAAACAGCTCCTTGGACGAGACAGTTTCGGGATTAGAAGAAAATCTTGTTCCAAACCAATACTTGAGTTATGCGGGCGTGAGTGAATGGGATACGCAGAACACAGAGGTATAACTACATCTAGTAGACACGCCTCAGGCATGGCGTGCTATCTCATTGCTAGCGTCAAAACGTAATTGAGAGGTTGTAAGCTTGTGGTACCCGGTGGATCTACAATAGGAAGGGAGGGACCTTCACATGAAAGAGACGGAGAATGGAAGCTCGTTCGAAAAATCAGATTTATACCGGCCTAAGGAAGGCCAATCTGGGAGCGTTTTTTAACCCCTAGGGGAGACCTAACTGAAATCTTCCCCCAGCGTTTGCGACGAGCAACCACAAACTTTTCTATGTCAACCTGACACAGGCGCTACCACACACGCACCGTTTCGTGCACGACTTCAATTCTAATAACGCTATAACATTTTTTTTTCAGCCATTTTGTATGGAGAACTGGGACATGTATTTTCCACAGAACGTGCGGAATGAGTTTGGATACTTTTAACACCCAAGTTTTGCACTTAAGGGTTAGCAAAGCTTTTTTTCTGGTAAGCATAAGAATTTAATTTAAAAAACTTCAAAACAGGCGCGAGGATATCAAACACAGCCCATCCGTACGAAAACATATTTTAAAAAAATATTTGAATCGCAATACGAATAGTAAATACTTTGGTATTTGAGAGAAAATTTGTTCGACTTTCTAGCACAGAGAGGTTACTTGCTCAATTGTGTATGGACACCAGTTATTGAAGAAATTCAGATGATAAGATCACTCTCTTTAATAACCCATACGCGTTATAGTACTTATAAAACATTACAAGCCCTAAGAGTAATCAGTACTAATGAAAATTCTCCTTCTGTCCTTGTAATATCTGAATGCCTTATAACACAGATTGGTGACGAGAATTAATCACATGATCAGACAAGATAAATCTAATCGTCATTAAATTCAATCACTCGTTTGTTAGGATCTAGAAAGGGGGAGCGGGGGTTACTGATCTCGTATTTCGGCTCCAACAGAACACGACAATCCCGCATCCCGAACTTCTGTCATCGCTATCCTGAATACTCGTTTTCTTTCCCAATCCCATAACCCAAAGTTTGGCGAATCCCATTTCCCTGGTAGCAGTCAAATCCCTTATCCCGTAAAGTTTCCCGAATTCCGCACTGTATTTTCGAGAAAGCTTTTTCAGCCCCTGTTATGCTGCATCCAAATCAAAAGTAAGTCGTTTGATCGTAAATATTTTCTTCACATCTCTCTCTCCTCGTCTGACTGAAACTCGCTATCTTTTAAACGATAAGCCGTCCTTTAGTATTTTACTATTTGCTTCTTCTTGGTCGCAAGGACGCATCCGGTTCTACACCCCTTGAATGTATTTGAACGGAGAGTGACGGTTACTTGTTTCCTTTGCAGGTCGTGCCTTAACGCATCCCCTCAGTCAGATGTCTATACAGGGGCCAAAAATTCCTTGACATTTTACACTGGTAAAGGTTTGAGAGATAACGACGAGTTTCATGTGGACGATATGCTTTTATAATAAAGGTCGGTGCCACAACATTTAACCGTTCGGACGGCTGGATCACTTGAAAGGAGTTTTACCCTCTCACAGAGAGCATACTCCGATTCATATCGATTAAGACAAATTACTTTATACCTGATGTAGTCACAAAAGCTGACATAATGATCAGAAGTATTCTGACCAGAAAACGTTAGTTTTCGCACGTTACTGACGTGCAGACGAAGTTGTAGCTAGTGTAACAGGTGGATAGGTCGTCCTGTTTTTTCGTCTCTGTCTAAGAGCATGCTGTTTATAAAAAGAGATCCTATCGGCTTGCTACAATGACCTTCTCCACAGAGAATCAGTCCTCTTTTGTCTTCTGTTGATGAAAGTCCGTATACACTTAACAATCTTATTGATCAGCTTAAAAGCATTTTGAACTAAGACATAAGGCTTAACAATGTACACAGCTGTATTGCTTCAATCCATATTTTCTTTAGAAATAAATGAATGGATGAAAAATAAATAAATAATAAATAAATAATATGGTTGTACCCTGTTTCTACCTTTGTCTCCTCCATTATTTCCCTTTTTCCTGGTCCTTTTCTTTTAAAAAGCTAAACTGTCAGCAAGGTTTTCGCCCACATCACACAAAAATTGTAATTCCCCAAGAGCTCTTCCAACGGCGGGCAGTCTTTCTTTGATTGTACAGTTTTCAAGGTGTCCCCTTAAATCAAGTGCCGTACGGCTACTGGCAGGTAAAACCCCAAAATGCAAAAATAAATTTAGGCGAAAGCCAATATATATAGAATACTTTATGGGCTGTGCCCCTGCGGGTCGCTGCCTGGCCTTTTTAGGGCGCCATCATTGTCGTGGGGGTTCTGCAGGTCCTTTGTCTGTGTATTCACTTAGCTTTCAGTAGGGGAGTAGTTAGTTTATGTCTCTTGGGTCTTTTAACTTGTCCGATTGTGGCGCTTAGCTGTTTGTCCTGTCATGTACTTTTGTAAGGGGTCAGGGCGGGGCTCATTACCCCGGCGACTTTTGGCGTACTTTATATGTATCAGACGTATCAGAAATCGAACGAGTTTACGCAGCGAAAGAGTGAGATTTCTGCTACAAAAAAGAGAGCGTAAATACCATACAAAGAACTTTCCATGAGGTATTGTGTTTATTATAATCACACTGAGACATTCACAATTTTATTAGCCCTTTATTTTAGAAATGAAATGACATGAATGAAAACGAGGCCGCCGTTCAAAAACAATAGTAAAAATTATTATGAGGGTAAGGATATGAGGTAAAAAAGGAATCACATAATTAAGTATTCTTAACTATATGTTTAGAAGTAAATTGAGTGTGATCGCAATTTTTTTTTAGTAAACTATTGAAATAGTGCAATAAATGAAAAATCTGAAATCGGGATAACATAGTCCTGAATATAGAGCTATTGTTGTTGACAGTGACTGACGTTTCGACAATCTGTGCAGTAGTCATCTCCAGGGTCAAAGTGAGTTGTATCACGTCAGTTGACGGTGTTAAACTCTGGTTATCGACCCGATTAATTGGTCAATTAAGTCGCGATGTTGTTAGTCGTCTGTCAGTAAAGGCATGATGTTATTAGCTATGAAGACTCGTAATGTCATTGGTGCGTTTCGATCCGTCTATTGTCACAGTTAAATAGTCATTTATTGTTAGTTAAACTGTCAGTTGTCCAGTTTTTCTCTCGTAGCTAGTTTTGCTTGATTCCGTCAATAAGTCCTTTGTACGGTGCGGGTAACTGTTTACCACGATTCAGTGGTAATAAGTTAGTAAACCAGCTTTCTAAAGTGAGTCGTTGATGGTCAATTTACAATTACTAGCGGAAGAAGAATAATCTTAATCAAAGACAAACTATTAGCTGCATGAAGGCACAAGTCGAGCTTACTTGTCTTTTACCCTTTCCACTGTTGTTTTGCAAGCTCTCCATACAATTTTCTCCGGTGACAATGAAGTATACGACGCTATTCTATTTCAATTTCCGAACTGTTTCTCACTTTTTAGGACTCACAAATTTCCTTGTTGAAAGACTTCGCAAGCTCATACAAAAGGCGTGTAATTTGGCGCGGAATTGCGCCGCTCAGGGGATATTGATTAGGTTAGGAGGATTATTCAGACTAAGCTTTCATTTTCTTCTTCCCTGTTTGAACAAAAGCGGAGGAAATTGAAAGATGTCCTGGACTGCATCGCAGCTGTTACATGATCTACGTCTATTTTGAACAAGACTGTACCAGTTAATTGCAATACAGCTGTCATAGGAAAATGAACGAAATCAGTGAATTGTAGAAAACTGGCACGCTCTTGAAATTCAAGGATCTTAAGTTCAACAAAAGGATGAAACTGAAAACATCTTCAGGAGATCTGTCCAATTTAACTTCTCTCAACTCAATTCGAGTCAATCTTACGTATTATACCGTACCGCAAAAGCAATCTCATGATAATGTTGTTTTTGCTTTTTTGTTCGATATCGTCATTACGATTTTCTCTTTCTAAGCAATGAAGTGCATCGGTAGTGACGTAAACGTGTAGCTTAACTGAGTAGTTATGGTCATTATAAATCTTTTTAGTATACAAGCCAATTTCATTCCTATTTCTATTATGTGAAAATACGCTTTTTGCACCTTAATTAATCGCTTTGGAAAGTCACTAATCTGCAAGCCTACGATTCTAGAAGCAGCCTGCGGGTGAATTTAGCTATAAGGAAGTTTAAGATACGGCGACTACGGACTGCGACTACGGATAAACATGCTACTGCACATGGTCAAAACCACGTGACTGTTCGTTTTTCCCGCGTAGTCCTGCGGCTACGGTGAGTTGTTGAGCTGTTTCGCGTAGTCGGGACTACAGAGAACATTTTGCTCGTATTTTGGCGTCTCGGCAATTGAAGAATCTCGTCTTTTCTTAAAAAAGTTTTCAATTCACCTGCTTTAAGTGAGAGGGTAGCGAAATATGTAAGCTGTGTCTAATTTCTGCTCAGATTTACGCTTTTAATCCACCGTTGTGACCTCATTTTTATCTAGCTAAGCTCATATTTGAATAAGGTTAGTTGTTTATACGCAAAATTCCAATTGACGGCCGAGGAGAAGAGAAATCATGCAGGTAATTTACTTTCTCTTCGCTCTTGAAAAGATTCAATGTTTGTTCGAACTGATTATTGTGTCTTTCTACTTGTGTAACCTTTGTTTATGCGAGTTTTTGTATCGCATTTGCTGAATGGAAATGATGTAAACATCTTCGAGAGACAATCGAAACTCGGCATTTCAATACTTCAGACTAAATCAGGTCAGTAGTCGGAGAAGTCCATATTCTAAATCTAATAAATGAGCTATTACTATTTCTGTCTATTTCTTTAATATTTGACATAAGAATTCATAGGCAAAACTAAAACCTGTGTAACCTGCAAAACTTTGTTTACAATTTCACCCGACGTAATTGCTTCCTTCAAGTATGGAAGAATTTGTTCATTGCTCTAAAGATAAGATCACATGCAAAACTGACTTGCATTTTTGTGACCTGTGATGAAAACAAGAAAATCATTGCGTGTTGTTTTCCTCTCCGCCTCTTCTCTCGTAGTCTACAGTGTCTGTAGTGCAATCTTAACGTTCTATATTTTCTATATTTGCACGACTCAACCCAGTGCTACGAACAAAGAACAACGCTCGTCCAGCAGTCAAATGTGGCGGTTAGGAGGTCGAAGCAGTATTAGAAGTTGGGATTAAAATAGAAGAAAAAAAGTGGCCTTTCTTGATGCGGAAATTATGATTGTCAAACACTCAAGTAAATAGTTAAAGACAAGAGGAACAAAAAGTGTTACTTTATTGTTTAAAACTTCCTCTCAGTTATTGATCTTAGTTCCTTATCATGAATCCATGGCGTCGAGTTTCTTTTCAGGCGACTATATCAAGTGTCATGTAATTGCATTATAAAAGAATTAAATAAAGAATTAAAAAAGGGGGCGAGAAAAGGGGTAAGGAAGTTAAGAGCGGC